AATTATGTAGAGTAGAACTTTCATAAAGTAATTTCCGGAAATCTTGTCTATGTCCCTCAGTCAAAAAAATTGCACTAAATGTCGAAGTAAAATTTCATATATGTGAGAATAGGATCGCGGAATTTAAAAAGAGAACAGCCAAGTCTATAATATTGAAAGAATTTGCGCGAAATATCTCTTGATATTTGTACTCATAAGCAAAGTAGTGTTTATTACATGTGTATTTATAATAAGCAAATTATACATTATGATATCTTTAGAATTTCGTTATAAAGGCCGAGTAGTTTCAATGTGACTCTAGATAGCACTCGCAATTTAATGGTTTCATCATCATCATCATTTTTGCACATTTTTACACACGAACGTTATAGCATATTTTGATATGATAAATTTTCGTTGAGATTCCTCTTATATAATTGATAAAAGGAAAAATGGAAAAATGAACACTATTCTTCGCTAGATACACGATATATTTATCATAAATAATCACGTGGAGATGAGCTTTAAATAGTCTTGTAATTATTACAATGGAGTAGCGCTTTTTCTTGTTTTTCTGCATACATGAATACGAATGTGAATACGATGTTTAATCACCCGAGCGTAACATCTTGACGGTTCCTATTATACGTGAAATTTTATATCATTATCACGATATAAAAATGAGTACATTCATAATCTTATTTGACATATTGATACCGTTATCGGATGCTAATCTGTGCCAAGTGATGCACTAAAGATATATCGTCGAATTTTACGAAAGCGTTGCGCACATAAATAATCTTCCAAGTTCTTTAATGAATCACTTGTATTTTACGTTTCGTTGAGCAATCACTTACGATCACTGCTCTTTACAAATACTTGCAACAATAATTGAGAATCTTTTCTACATTATATCTTTTATTCCGGTAAAGAAATAAGAATCGCGGAATCGATCAATATGGATTGGATTGATTAAAGTGGAACATATTCATCCTAATAGATCGCAGCTTACGTTAACATTCTCGGAGTATATACGTATATATGTACATGTGAGTATATATATGTATACATACACACACACACACACACACACACACACACACAGAGATCGCCAAGCAAATTTTTAAAATTAATTTTCACTTCTGAATTATCTAATTAAAGTTGCGATGTGAGCCATTTATTTTTGAAACTTTATGTTCTCAAATAATTCTATAATTAGGCACTAACTTTTGCACAAGAAATTCTCTTTGAATTTTTAAGATAATTGAAAAAATATGTGATTTCTGATGTATCTTTTAATGCATATGTTGGTTAATGGGTACCGAATACGCGAGTCAGAAGTTATATTGAAATGTCTCATATATATCCATCTAAGTAGAAATTAATAGCATATAAAAAAGTCTGTTTTATAGAAATATAGCGTTAGCTTGCAGAAATAAGTTCTATATATAATAATATTAAACGAAGAATTTTGGTAATCAAGTTTATCTTGTGCTAATCTTTTTTGTTTGTGTATAAGTCACGTATTAATAAAAGATGAAAAGGCTACAATCCCACCGATGTTAATTTTGCAAGCATTGAAATTGCAAAATAATGCTTCCAAAGAGAGCTGTGTGCTAAACATTTATTTAGCAACAATGATTTTTTGTGATTACGCTCGATAAATTGCACATGCGGCAATTTATCTATATTCATAAATTTATTGTTAAGATATCAGCATACTCAGAATGATTTGAAAAACCTAACGAGGAACAAATTTAAGCGTTAAAAGGTGTGAAGCATATTATTTGTACTGTGTTATCTTTTTTCTGAAAATATATTTTTATTCTTTATACACATGATAGAATCTTCTTAGGATGAAAGTTCTGAAAACACATATGTAAAAATTTCGTCATATGAATTTTTACACATTGGCGATAATGACTAAACATATCTATCAAGAATTTCTATCATATTCGAAGCTCTCTGTCTCTATCTCTGTCTCTCTCTCTCTCTCTCCCTCTTCCTCTCTCTCCCTCTTCCTTTCTCTCCCTCCCCTCTGTCTCTTCCCTTTCTCTTTCTCTCTCTCTCCTTTTGCTGTAAATAATGCTAGCATGATGTACAATTATATCTTGTATAAATGATGGATAGGATATCAACAGTACGTTAAACAAATGGCATGACAACTTTTCGTTCATTAGTATGGCAATTTAAATACAGATTTAAAGCAAAAAATGTTTACATAAATATTCACTATCGAGTCGCATCTATTTTTCTGCGACCCGTATTTTTCGAAATCATTTTGCTACTGAAACATTTTTTCTAATTTACATGATATATATATACAGGGTCTACCAAAAGTGTGGAAACCCCTAAATATCTCGGAAAATATACGTTTTACAGAAAAGTGTTTCCAACAAAAGTTGTAGGGTTTAAGAAGATCTATATACTGATTCTATCAGTTTGACCTTGGATGGCGTCGTCAAGGTCAGGTCAAGGTCACATTGACTTTTTTAAATGACACCCCCTACATTTGATTGCATATTCTTATAGCTTAATTCAAGAGCTTTCCAAAACACTATAATAATGTTCATTTTTATTAAGTACTTTGCGAGTTATGAGGGTTGAAATAATTTCTTAATTTTACATAAACCATAAAATATCTAGTAAACCATTCATTTTTCGATTATCTTACCTTCATACTTTTATGTACAAAATAATGAAAGGAATCAATTGGTGTAAAGAAAACATACAGTTGTTTTTAAGAAAAAATATGGAATTGTTAATTGCAAATTACATATTTTTTCTTAGAAACAACTATGTGTTTTCTTTACACCAATTGATTCCTCTCATTAATTTGTACATAAAAGTATGAAGGTAAGATAATCGAAAAATGAATGGTTTACTAGATATTTTATGGTTTATGTAAAATTAAGAAATTATTTCAACCCTCATAACTCGCAAAGTACTTAATAAAAATGAACATTATTATAGTGTTTTGGAAAGCTCTTGAATTAAGCTATAAGAATATGCAATCAAATGTAGGGGGTGTCATTTAAAAAAGTCAATGTGACCTTGACCTGACCTTGACGACGCCATCCAAGGTCAAACTGATAGAATCAGTATATAGATCTTCTTAAACCCTACAACTTTTGTTGGAAACACTTTTCTGTAAAACGTATATTTTCCGAGATATTTAGGGGTTTCCACACTTTTGGTAGACCCTGTATATATATATATATATATATATATATATATATATATATATATCGAAATTATGTCAAAGTGCTACGATCTCACTGGAAAAATTAGTCGATGTATTATTTTGGGTAATTGACAATTCTGTGATAATAAGCGAAAACAACTTTGCTATATTCCACTTTACACTCACATGCAAGTTTTATTTCTTCTTAAAATAATATTTTCATATATGTATGTTTATGTGTCACTTTTATTCAAGTTTAATAATACATTTATAGTTTTATGATTGGCCAAAGTCATTCCATTTTTCAAGGAATAATTATGATTGACCAGTTTTAGAACTACTGGATGTTATTAAACTAGTTATTAACCCGATTAGGAATGATGTGTGATGTTGCTATCGCCTTATTTTTCTCTTCAGATTATTCAAAATATATTGTATTTTATTTATATTTTATGCATGCCAACAATTTTGATTGTATATTATCACAGAATTCATTTTCCCGAAGTATCTACTCTCATATTTAACGACGAATCGAGTAGTGAATTTGTATCTTTACGTATTATAACTTATATTATTGAAGTAGACGATTAACTAATCAAATGCAGTAAATATCTAGTAAGAGAATAATAAATCTAGTTAATTAATATTATAATCTAGTCTTAATCTAATCTCTGATTTTGTGAAATCTTATCAGAAAAACTATATTGAATTTGCGTCACATTATACAACTTATTAAATTTTTTCACACGCGTATATATGTATGTTATATTCTACGGCAAATTTTGAAACAAATCTTGAAAAATTTCGCACTGTGGGAGGCAAACTTACATCCGACGTCTCTGATAGCTCTTTTATCTCTATCACAATCTTATGTATCATAAATCATTGGGAGAATTAATCGAGCCTCAAATCCAACCGAAATTTGCAGCATTGCCGAAGGTAATTGAACTCTGTTGACCTTAATGTAAGAGAATAAACTGGAGCGATTAAATGGCTATCGTGCGACATGAATGAGAAATTCTTTCGCCGTTCTCTTGTATAACCAAATCTATCTATAAGTAATTAATAAGTCATTTCCTTCGGCTGTATCTAAACTTGGACGAAAGCTCGAGCATTCTGTTCATGCGATTCATTCACTGATTTTACATCACTGTACGAAATAGCTATATTTTCCTACACAATACGGACATCGATACTATGTAATAATATTCACTCCGATGCTCTGTATTTCCGACGAATACACGACCGCTGTAATATAGTGTATATTTCTTGTAATCGGTTCATAGGGTCAGTGCCCTATACTGTGATTAAAAGTGTTTCTGTGTATGTGATGACTTGTAACGGGTTACAACACTGATTTCGATCAGAACAAGAATGATTTCTATTTGTATCGCGAACGATTGTCAAGTAAATATTACCGTACACAACCAACAATGTGTTTTTTATTAATCTGATTAAATAATCTGCAATAATCTATTCTTTCAGGAACTATAAAACAAAACTGAAATATATATATATATATATATATATATATATAATATATATTTATTATACATAATTTTGATTAGAGTTCAAATATTTAAGTATCAATCAATTCAAGCGTATCATACATCATTAAACAATCTGTAATATATTTATTCATAAAACGCAATGCAAATAATAGTTATAATAATGTATATTTTTTTTTACTTATCGAACATTGTTCTTCAAAAATCTATGCTTTATTCTTTATTTTACAAAATTATTGTAGTAATATTTTGTCATATTAATATCTCTAATATCCATAATTAACTATTAATAAGATATAAAACAAACATCAAATCTGTGAACGTTTCTCTCATTTAATCGAAGTACGAGTAACGGAGAGTTTAGATCCGATTCTCTTTCGTGATTGTGTAGAGGATGATAGACTTCCATTTCTTTGCGAGAGATTCGCTAAATCCTTTGTGAATAATAGAGAATCATGTAACTGCACGCGTCTATTTTCTGCTCGCGAATCTGTAAGTACCATTTTTCTTTTATAAACATATTTTTATACATTAATCGAAAAGTTCAATCGAACTAAAATAGGAAGATTTTCAAGCATTTGATGTCACTGAATGAACAGATTCTGTATTTACCTAAAAACTCATTTATCAATGTCAAGTTTTTACGTTACATTTTTCAAGACTTTTTGATACGCAATGCATAAATGTGATATTCGAACACATTTGTACGAAATGAAAATATTTTAAAAATACATGATTCAGTAACGTGTATGCTTGTTATTATTTTTTATAAGCAATTTTTTTACAATTTTTCTCGGACATAAATTTTTTTACTGATTTATAGTATTAAAATTACTTTGTACAAAACATGATTGGACATTATTTTTTGATATTTTAGCTATTTATCATTTAGAAGTCATCGACTCTCTTTGACATTGAAATAAATATATAATAATATTTTTATTAATTTTAACATTTATTCATCGAGAACTTCTATATTTTTATACATTTATATTCGCTGATTAAAAGATAATTAAAATATTAATAGAAAAAAGTTTGATGAAGTATGATTTAGAAATAAAAATTTATTAAAGCCAATATATATGCATATTAGATCTATCTCTCTATTAACGTACCATTCTTCTCAGATAGATTACCGTCTCTTGTTCCAGACATTTTCAATCCCGAAATGTTTGCGTTCCCTTTGATCATATCATCGTTTCTCCGAATTTTTTTTCCTACGCATCTCTTTTCCAAAATTTTAACTTTTGTAGAGATCGCTGACGACGTTTCCGCGCATCGTTTGCATCGCCATACGAATCTAGGATCGTAAACGTCAATATCGATGACCGGAGGTTGATGGCACAGCGGATGATAAGCCTCTTGACACTCTTGACACTCCAGTAAAATCAAAGCTCCCAATTTTTGCGCCATTGCAAATCTTGGATTTGCACACCGTACACAGATATACACAATTCGTTGTAAATCAACGTGCGTTAGGTCGTGCAATGACAATCGCAACAACCAATTATTTTATTTCGTGTAAGTTACAAGTTATAAACTAGATCGCGAAAGTTTAATTGAGGAAAAAACCTTGCATAGGGTTCCATCGACGGATCCTTCGTCGGGAATCGAGATCCTGGGGACGTTCTGATCGTCGCAGGAATCCTCGTAATTGAACACTTTTATGTCAGTTGTTTGATAGTTCATCATGTTCTCCGTTGTGTCAGGTTCCAGAAGAGAGATGACTTCTGGATCGTCCCAAGTTTCATTTTTTACCGTTTTGACGCATCGTCCTTGGACGTAGTCGCGTTTCTTCGAGATTCTCGAAGCATTGTCAGTATTTTGCAAAAATCTTCTCGGCATTCTAGCAGCCAAAGTTTTACCGGGGCCGTATTTCTTTTCGATACAAGCGTCCAGCATTCGACGAAGCTTTTCGCCACTATTTTCATCGGTCGAATGCAATAATGCTAATGCGTTAAACAAATCCTCGTTGGCATCCGACATGTTTTTCTCGATATGCATTTCTTGAAATCTAGATGTTTCGCATTGTACGAATGTCAATGTTTGAGATATTGATCGGAATATTCTCGATATTAATTGTATTCTGAATCGCTGTTATATATGTGTGTTAAAAAATATATAAATATAGTTTGTCAAAAAAAACACACGTAAAATCATGACGAGAATTCAGAAAAAGCAATAAACTTTGAAGGGAAGAGAGCAAATTACGCTTTATTATTTTGAATTCTTTTGAAATATAATTTTTTTCATCCCAGGGAAAGATTTCGCTCCGGCATAATAACTGAAGGTTAAAAGACCTTTATCGAATGTCTCGAACTTGACATTGTTAACTCACGTACGGACGATGTATTCCCGACAAATTAAGGACCGGGCACGAAGGAGTATAAGTGGTCCTACGGACTGGTAACAATCTTGGGAATTGTGCGGACCAGGACGTTCTATGGATTTAGATATGCGAATAGTATCCCGAGACGGACGTTCGTCGTGAAATGTGCCGAAGGAAGGTGGCCGGCATTTATCGGGCTCGATCATCGACTCGCCGCTTGTATATCGACGGAATCGCATCGATGACGCATCATTGTTCTCGTGACTGTTTGCTAATAGAATCCAACGCTTATGGTCGTCGTTCTCCCGGGGATCGGATACTGGACATTGAATATTCAATAAACAATGTTACCGGAGTATTGACGTGAACGCGCGATCATCACATACGGTCCGTCTTGTAAATCCTTTCAAAAAGATCTGATACAAATTTTGCGTTACACATAATCTTTAAATAGACTTACGAAAAATTTTAATTAGAAATTACATCAAAGCTTGGTATGGAAAAACCTATTAAAAAATATAACTCGTAAAATGTTTAAAAAAATACATATCTTTATAATACATGTACTTTTTAGTGGTGGTGGTGTACGACTTCTGTTTTAAATATATTTACAATTTTTTTTATATATTTTATATTGCATTGTTATATTTTATATTACATTGTTATTATAAATATATAAACAAAAAATATTTTTTTTAATAGCTAATAATTACAAATATCTATAAACCGAAGGATTTTTTAAATTTGATAATCGAATAAATCTCGAATAGTTTCAAAATGAATTTTTTTTAATGGATGCCAGTTTTCCCGGCATCCATGTTCGTAAGATACGAATCTCTCCCGCCCTTCTTTTCTTCAGCATCAGCTTTTCTTATACTCGCGGCTTGCGTGACGCGCTTTTTCAAGGGCTCTATTAATAAGCTCGTACGTTCTTCCTCGCGCTTTTTCGGAGACGGGCGACGCGGGGGGATAAGAGCGAGCGGAAAAGCATCCAATTATCATGCCCGATGCCGGGGCTTCTCACCCTGCACAAGCTCGGTACCAGAATCGACTGGAATCCGGTCGGGAAGCCGGGCCCGGTAGACGTCGAACGAGTGGGATTATTCCGCGTCCGGGTTCTGGGCCGGGGGCCGGGCGGGGGCAGGCCGAGGGAACAATGTCGGAAACGACGGGGACGGTATGCCGAGATATGCAGGATATCGCGCAGAACTGCGATCCTTCGAAGTCTGAGCGAGAGAGCTATGAGGATACAGCAGTGGCGCAAGTATAGTGAACCAGATATGTACGCTCCGCAGCTGAGAGAGAGAGAGAGAGAGAGAGAAAGAGAGAGAGGAGAGGAAAGAGAGAATACATCTCTCTAAGTGTATTAACTCTCCGAAGCGAGAAGAGAGACAGAGAAAGAGGGAGGGAGGGAGGGAAAGAGAGAGAGAGAGAGAGAGATTCGCTCGCCGCGCGAGCACTGCCTAAATATGTAATAATATCTACGGGAGATACCGGCATTCCCCGACCTCGAGAAGAATTCGATCAAAATGTGTCGCGATACTCTCCCGGTATGCCAGGTGAGGTACGCGTTCACCTTCCCATCTCCTCTCCTTCCTCCTTCAGCAGCTTCCTACCGTTTCTCACCCCTTTCGACCCTTTCGCACCCGCCCTGCTCCGTCGCATCTCCCCCGCGTCTTCTTCCGTCGTTGCTTTGTCCTCGTTTACACAGGATCGGATACAATAAGCACGTCGCACGCATCCCTGCTCGTGCAAACTTGCTCAAGTCTGTTCAATCCCTATGTGAAATCTCAATCGAAGAAGCGTAGAGTGAAATCTTAGAGACTCCCTACGATTTTTTTTTCATGTATCAATTTTTCTTCTTAAGTAGGTTCAATATTTTTTCAAATAAAGATTTGATTAGGCGATTAGATTATAGATTACGTTATTATTTTTTGCAATTTTTGAATCCTAAATTTTGACTCTTTGAAATTATTAATTTATTCTCAAATTGTTCTACAATTTTTCCCAACAAATTTTTTCTCTGTATTTACTATCTAGATTTCTATGGAGAATTGTATTAAAAATTAAAAAATTTCTTTAAAAAATCCGTTATATAATTGTTAAAATAATAGAATATACATGAAGAAACAAAAAAAAATACATAATAGATCTATTGCACTTTACATTGTGATTTTTATTTGTATTTACATTAAATTATTTTCACCAAAAATTAGATTATTTTTGATGAAAATAATATATAAACACAAATAATTGTGTCATATCAATAAATAAAATGACAAATTTGTGAAGGAAATATAAGAGAAAAAGAATAAGAATCTATCAGTATACTTTATTTAAGAGTCTTTAAAAAACACAACAAGTAATTTTTAATGTCATTTGCCACAAGGCGATTCCGTTTAAAAGAAAAAATCTTTATATTACGAGAGCAACATCTCTGCTTTTAAGTGCAGCAAGAATTTTCGAATGCGCCGTTCGCGTGATATTTTAATACTTTATACCTGACGGTCCTTGCGAGTAAATCTCTGCCATGATAAGACCTGCCAGGAATCTCACCTCTGCGAAATATCTGCCGTTTATAAGAAATGTTTTCGAAGTTTATGAGGACGACGCGTAGCTCTGGTATGAGGTAGATCTAAAGCGTTCTCTCTCCCCTCCCACCCTCTCTCTTCTACTCTTTTTTTATTTTCCCCCTTTTAAATAAAAGTGA